TTACTTACAAGAATAAGTTTTGTAGCATTTTGTGAAAATATATTTGTATATTAAAATTTTTTTTATAATATTAATTTATATATTTGTGTTATAAGGGCAATTCCACAGCTAAAAATGAATAGAAGTCAAATTTTAAACTCTCTTTAGTCAGTTAAAAACAAAAGAATATTGACTTAGACATATGAAAGTTTATTTAAAATATTGCCTTAGTAAAAAAATAAATTTATTTCAGTAGTTTTTATGGTTTCAAAGTGACGGTTACTCTCATTTTTGCTTGATAAAAAAAATAATGATTGTAAAATGTTTTAGTTAAACTAACATTTATGTTAAATTACTATATTTTTTTGGTTCAAGTTGATAAGGTTGAATAGACATTTTATTAGAAATTAAACTAAGACAGAGCTCGAATTAACGCAAAAAAATCTAATCGCGAAAAATTTTTTTTTTTTTTTTTGCTATCCCCCCCCTCTCTTTTATAGCTCGCGCCGATGTGCCGTAATGGGGGGAAAAAATTATCGTCAATAAATCAAAAAACATCGTCAAAAACTTAATAAAAAATTAGATACCACGTTTTTTATAATTTATTGTTTCTTGAATAAAGGACTAATAAAAGTTTAAATATAATTAAGTTTTTCATTTAAATGGTTGATGTTTTTATTCAATTTTTCTATTTCAAGTTTTCCAATAAAAGATAAAACAAAAAAATTTGATTTAATAAATCGAATTATACTTCATGTTTAAAATAAGGCTTAAAAACGTTAAAGTAAAAAAAATGCTGGTTTTTATTAGCATTTTTATACTGTTTGAAAAAAAAACTAATAAAAAAGAATTAACTAATTATATATTAATTAATAATTATATATTAATTCTTTTTTATTAGTTTTTTTTTTCAAACAGTATAAAAATGCAAATAAAAGTCAGTAATTTTTTTGCTCTAACGTTTTTAAGCCTTATTTTAAACATGAAGTTTTGATAAACAAAGATAAAAACCAACTTTTCAACTTTTCGCTTTAACGACTTTGTAAAAATATTCCACGCAGAGATTTAAAGTAATTTAAATTCAAAAATGTTTTATGTTGAAAGAAAATCTCCGCGCGAAAGAGCAAATCATCTATTCATCTATCTATTCAGAATAATAAATTTAGTGTGACGTTCTTTATGATAAAAACATTACTTTTAAGAATTGCTAAAAAAAATGCTAAGCTAGAAAAAAAGTAATTAATCAACCAAAAAAAAAAACGAGTCGCGAAAAGATTTTTTTTAAGAGAAAACTAATCACAAAAGTGTGTGTTGCAATCGCAATCGCGATACGCTTAATACGAGCCCTGTAAGACTTTTTTATAAGTTCTAAACTATTTAAACCTATTACTTAATGACTTTTTTTTAAAAGTCTTTAAGTAATAGGTTTAAATAGTTTAGAACGACGTCTTTCAACCGAATGCTATTATACTGTTTTTGCAAAACTAATTAAAAAAACTTGATTAAAACTTAACTATTTAATCACGACTTTTTTTTACTTGAAAATCGAAGTAGATACTCTAAAGTCGTTGTGACGTACTAACATGATTTTTAACGACTAACAATCCAGTTTCAATGGTGAAAAAATAAAATCAAAATGGAGTTGTTTTTTAGTGATTTCGACAATTGCTTTTTGTTAGCATGTATTTATTATTACAATTTAGTGAAAAAGAAAAAAAACTTACATATTTTTTTTTTATGCTCTTTCATATGTGATCATATGTTAGGAGCACTTAGGGATCCCTTTAATCATCCTGATAGTCCAAATACTAAAATATACTTATTTTATGATAGTGTTCATCTTGTTAAAAATATCAGAAATAATTTATTACACTGTAAAAAATTTGTCTTTCCATCCTTTACATTCAATATAAAAGATGATTCTAATAATTGTCCAGCTGGTTATATTACTTGGGGAGATTTTCATCATCTACATTCTAAAGATGAGAAACTTCAAGGCAATTTACGAAAAGCTCCAAAAATTTCATATTAGAGTCTTCACCCTGGTAACAAAAAGCAAAATTCTTGCACTATCAATTTTTGATGCAACAATAATTGCAGTTTTCAAGAGTTATTTTCCAGAACGTAATGACATTTCTGGTTTTCTTACAATTTTTCACAAATGGTGGACTATTTCAAATTCTAAAGAGCGATTTAGCCCAAATAAACTTGGTAATGCGAATATTCTTAATGATGGTAAAACAACTTTTTTTCGACAATTAGCTAATTGGATTGAACTTTGGCAAAAATCTCCATATTTTACCTTATCACAACAAACATCATCGGCTCTCATCACAACTCTGCGTTCTCAAGCAATGCTTATAGATGACCTTATTGAAGAAGGATATTTATATGTACTTACTTCACGGCTTCAAAATGACCCAATGTGTGTGTGTGTGTGTGGTGCCTCTTTATTCAATAATCTCTGTATTCCACAATACAATATTCTATTAAGGTCATTAAAAACATTGATATAACGCTGATTAGTATAACCAAATAACATCACTTAATTTTTACCAATAAAGTAATAAATTAAGAAATGAATTTTGTTATGAATTTTTCATATTATATGCTGACCCTAACCCTAACATGAATTCATAATTTTCATAATGTTGTGAATACAAGATAGCACAGGAAACTTTTTTGTTGGATTTTGTAACTCAAAATGTTGTCGTTAGATTTAAAATTAGCGTTTTGAAATTCTCCCGTGAGATTTGAACAATAATAAAGCACTTGTCACAAAGCACATAAGTCACTTGCACATAATCGAAAGAAATCCGAAATTTACAGAGGCTGGCTCAAAACCACCAGAGAATGGGATGTTTTGCAAAAAACTTGCGGTGATTGAAGCCTGGGAACAAAAATATCCAAAAAAGTTCCCTCGTACTCCCTCTTACCTTTAGAAAATTCCTCTTTTTACTTCACATCAATCTAATCGCTAAGTCCAAACACTACACAGAAATCTTCTCATTAAATCCAGGTTTTGTTTCTAGAAACTTCTCTAAAGTTTTTTGCATCTTTTACAAATGCTTGGTTAATTCCACTTCAATATCCAAAACTTTACAGAAACGAAATAATCCTGAAAACATTTTTATTTATGAATTTTTTATTGCTTATTTGTTTTTCAACATAAATTATAAAAATCATAAGGAAACGTCATCTTAATTCTAAAATGTATACACTGAAAAATATCTTGTTGTACTATTGTTGTATTTTCCAGATCTGCCAGATCTAAGAACACTACCTCCTTCAATCCTATCTGAACCAATACTTTTTTCTCCTTAATCTTCCGTTTATTTTTTTCTCCTCTAACTTGCCATATCTTAAAACCTATTCTGTATGAGATGAGGAAATACTCTATTCATCTGATCCATCCATGAAGAGTAAATATTCCATAGAAAAAAGTAAAAGCTAAGTGCATTGCATTTCTTATAAATAGCAGCTAGTTTATTAATCTCATTCAAAATTGCTCCACAAATAGAATAACACAGAGTTGAATCAGTTGCATCAATATTACTACTTTGCCATTGACCATGGTTATTTCTAGTTGATGTTCTATAAAAATTTTCTCAACTTAAGTGGACTAAAGCTTCTGTTCTTTGATATGATTTAGATTCTGAACAAGAACTTCTTTGTTCTCTTTAACATATTTAAATTGTATAGGTCTGCAGTACAAAGTTGGTGAAGGCTTTTCATTAATCCATAGAATCTCAGCTGTAGCAACTACAGACAAAAGAAGTGTTGCTATGCAAGTTAGGAATAGACTTTCCTCAAGAAATAAATCTTTTTATTATTGTCGTCGTTGTTGTTGTCATTGTTGAATCAAGGTGCTCCCAGAAGTTCTTATGGTCTTATCACAGAGCACCGCAGAAGAGCAATCAACTAGGAAGTTCATGCCTCCTTCCTTACCAATGTAAAATCTTTAGTTTTTTGTTCGTAAACAGATAGTACTGCTATTAAATTCAACCTTGCTGATAAGTAGAAGTTTAGAATTTGTCTAGTTTAATATACTTTGAGGTCCTACCTTGGCTAAGTAGTCCTCCACTTGCATTTCAGAGGTAGAGATGTAGTATTCTTTTGCCTCTCGTGCTGAATTATATGAGGGTTACAATCAGTTAAAGCAGCTGCACAAGAAAGAGAAATCCAGACTTGAAGCTGAAAAAATTGATGATCGTATTCCTGATCTGACCTGAGCTCCTTTTCAATGCTGATCCATGTGTTTCTCTCAAATCTTGTAATAACATAAAATCCATGTTTTTAGATTGAATTTAGATTGTGTAATTTTTCTTTCAAAAAGTACAGTAATGGGTTTAATGATTTTTGCCACCAGCTTCCAGAGCAGCACCATCTCAGCATATAATCATAAAACAGATTGTCCAAAAGTGATAGATGAAGGTTAGAACTGTGGGTTTGAAAAGTGAAAGATAGGTTATAACTGTGGGTTTGAAACATTTGCATAATCAAGTACATTGTAAGCTTTCTACTCTGTAACACTATGAAACATTTTATGTCATATCTAAAATTTATGACACTATTGCAATGTGATATATGGCAATATCATATGGATGGTTAAGCGCTAAACCAGCCTATACAACAAAGTTGAAAAAAATTAGTTTATGTTTAATGATTTATGTAGTGTTTCTTTGCAAACAGCAATATACTTTACTTAATATAATTTTTTTAGTTTAGTGGCTTTGGTTAGCAGCTTTTAAACTTTGCGTCTATTTATCTCATTTCAACATATTCCTTGTATAGACTGGTTTGGCGCTAAGTCATCCATATACTATACCAACACTATATTCTGTAATTTATGCATGAAATATTATAAGGCTATTACATTATTATTAGTTTTGTACATTTGCTCTTTAGCATCTACACAATAGTTTTTAGATATTATAAAATTTGTAAAAATAAAAAGGTGCAAGATTAATGTTTCTTGTACATAATAATTTTTTATAGTGTTTTTATAATTTTTTTTTTAGATATGATGGCAAATTAAATATAGGAAGTATAATGTCTATGCCATCTGATGCTATCACTATATGTAATTTTTTTCTTTTATTTTCATTAGTTTTTTAAAATACATTATATTACTGCTATATATCGTAACTGTTTGTTTCAATGTTTTAAGTTGTGGTGGCTTATTGTTGAATTTTTCTATCATTTAATTTGAAATGTTTTTAAGTTTTTATTTATTTTTTTCTACTGACTAACTTTTAGCGCTACGTGACTTATATAATGTTATGAATAAAACATCAGCAGCTGTTCCACCTATTATGTTTCTTCAGGTAAGTTTTTTTTGTAATCTTTGCTATACCTTTTATTTGTTATAATTTTTCTATCAAATATTTCTAATAAAACAGAATCATTGTAATGATATTTACAATGAAAACATATATTACAACTTTTGTAAATATTACACCCAGTGCAACCATCTTCATATTCTACTGTCTTATAGGATACGCTTTTTTAGGCAAAGGTTAGGAGCCAACTCTGACTTAACACACCCCCTGGCTTCTATATCTCTATAAGAATATTCATCTCGGGCAGACATTAAATGCATCCGGTTACTGTTTGCAGAAGGGCAAAAACTTAAAAGGTAAACAAATTCTATCTGTTGACCAGCTTCGTGCCCCTTCTTTATCTATTAGGCTGGCGCAGATGTATCTATAATACATTGTTTTCAGTTTAAGATGTTGAATGCTGGATTTTCTTGACTCAATGCATGGGTTTTGCTTGTATCTCTGTTTTTATGACTAGGAAACTCATTCTATTATATCCTAATGAGGGTACAGCTCCAAAACTCATTTTTATGGTTCTGAGGCCGGCTGGTAGTCAGGTTTCCTGAACTCTGTGGTAGCTCTCAGAGAGGCTGATTCCATCAACATTTGTAAAATATCAGAGTACTAACAGTGCCATGTTGCGAGTGGGTGGTGTTCCTGTTCATACTTTTTGATGCTTTGTTGAGACTACAGTTGGAGCCATTTGTTACGGCTGAGGGTTTGTTAATAGTAACAAGGCAATTGCTTGGACTTTCAAATAGTGTACTGAGTACTATCTGTACTTTGAGTCTTTAACAAATTTAAATAATGACTAAAGTATCAAAAACTATAAGACACAAATAACCATCGTCATCAGCAAGCTCTCTGTATCTATCATTCACTAATATTTGCGGTGTTCAAAGTAACTTTTCTTCTGTTGAGTCTTATCTCTTGCAAAGTTTGCCAGACCTACTTTCTCTGTGAAATTAATTTTAGTTCTGCTGTCTTATCTTGCGATTTTAGTGTTGATGGTTATCTTCCTTTATTTTGTAGGAAGACTCCAAGATATACTCTAATAGTCACATGCTTGTCTTGGGCGTTTATATTCATAAAAATTCACTGATTCTTAGGGAAGCTAGGTTTAAATCCATTAATAGTTCATTAATATAGATAAGAAACAAAACAGAATCTTGAGGTACCCCAGAAGTTACTGGAAATGGAGAAGAGTGTTGGCTTTTAAGGATGTATCTGATGAATGAATAATGAAATAAAAAAAAATGATCAAAAACGTTCCTAAATACACCATAAGAAGCTTATGAAGAAGACAACCATGCCAAAATTTGTTGAAAGATTTAAATATGTCAAGAGCAATAGCTCTAACCTCACCGCCTCCATCTAATGCACATTTACATTCTTTACTCAAACTATGTATTTTTTCTGATCTTAGTCAGTGCTCAGTTTCTCCACATTCCACTTAAGTGTTTCTGTTTGATCTTTCTAAAACAATCATCTCATTTTTCTTCATCATCAGAATCACTCTATCATTGTACCTCCTACAACTACTTTAAAGCTGACTAGTACTCTTTCTGTGATTCCCTTCATGATGGCCCTTGGGTAGAAATCTTTTGTCTTCTTGCTGACAAATGTGCTTCTTATGTAACTTCTTGGATTCAGGCTGGCAGCTTTTATTCCTCGTTGCTGGTTTTATTTGAAGCTTCACTTTTCTCCATGGTTTTCCTCTCATTGTGCTGCTACAATTTTCAATCATAATCTTCCATATATTCCATAATTCTCCAACAAAAAAGTTCTTATTTGTCTAGTTTTTTTTCTTGAAAGTTTTTTGGAATTTCCTAAAAACAAGATGAAGTTTCCTTCATCTTGTTTTCCTGACTCATTTAATTTGCCATCTTTTAAGTCTTCTCTTAATCATTATCTTGCTCTATAATTTTCATCTTTTTTCTTCCACTAACTCCCAACTCTAATTATGATTGCTTGTAGCCTTGTTAAAAGTAAAGATGCTTTTAAAAAGATATATTATCTATATATTATATATATATATATATATAAATATATATATATATATATATATATATATATATATATATATATATATATATATATATATATATATATATATATATATATATATATATAATATTAAAAAATATATATAAAATTAAAAAATAAAGTTATTGTTTGGATTTTCCCATAATGATTACACTCTTTTCAGGTATTGCATGCAGTGTTTCCTCATTTTGCTGAAAAATCAGAACAAGGAGGTTTTATGCAGCAGGTTAAAATTTTATTTTGAACTGTGATGGCTGAATTATAACTGAAAATTAAGAATTGATTTTGTTCATCATTTTTATCTTCTTGATTTGATTTAGTTTTAACTTCTAGAAATTTAAAAAACTTCAATAAGTGATTTAAAAGGATTGATTAGGAAAATATTTTTGTGATTTTTAATGTGATTATTATATATATATATATATATATATATATATATATATATATATATATATATATATATATATATATATATATATATATATATATATATATATATATATATATATAATCATACTTACTTTTTATAATAGTTTGAGCATGTTTTTTTATATTGATTAGGACGCAAATGAATGTTGGACGCAGTTAATTAGAATGTTACAACAACGGCTACCACCTCTTAAGACAGATTCTGACTCTAATTTACATAAATCCTCCTTTATAGATCAATATTTTGGTATGCTTTTAAAAAGTTAAAATTTGTTAAAAGATAAATTAAAATTTGAGGACCTGTTTTTTTTTTTATGTTTTTTCCTGGAATAGCCCCTGTGTGTATATATATAATATATATATATATATATATATATATATATATATATATATATATATATAAATATATATATATATATATATATAAATATATATATATAGAAATAGAAATATATATATATATATATATATATATATATATATATATATATATATATATATATATATATATATATATATATATATATATATATATATATATATATATATATATATATATATATATATATATATATATATATATATATATATATATATATATATATGAGTTTGAGTTTGATATATTCAGTAATCAAATTTATACATTTAAACCAAATTTATACATTATAATTAAATTTATACATTTAAATAATTATATATACATATACATATGCATATATTTAAATGTTAAATTATTAATTTGATGAAGAGACTTTTCCAGGAGTCTCTATGTTGATTTAACAGTTTATCAAAATCTGATCTTTAAATGCATTTAAAGATGGAGCATTTACCGCGTGCTGTGTGAGAGAGTTCCAATGGACCGCAAATCGGTTTGTGAAAAAGTTTGATCTTTCCTCACATCTTTCCTCACAATTGACGATCAAGCTGCTTGTCATGGCTGTGTAGGTTGTACACCTCACGCCCAATTAGTTGGTGCTGTGGGACCGTAAAATGAACTTCATCATAGTTGTTGAAAATTTTAAATTGTTCGATTATATCACCATGCAAACAACGTTCTTTGAGGGTAGTTAGTTTGAGTACCTGCAGACGCTTTATTTTATGAAAATGGCTGATAGATGATATTGTCTTAGTGACGCGATCTTGAACTTTTCCTAACATGCGATTGGCTGTGGATGCTGCTTTTTCAACTTGTGCTTTGACTTTTAGATCGTTTGATATGAAAACTCCAAGGTCACATAGTTGTAGTTGCAATAGTGTGGCGCATGCTATCAGGGGTTTCCATAGATTAGTCATGTGATAAACGTTTATTAGGACGACCTGCATGCATCACTTTACATTTATCAATGTTAAAGTGCATGAGCCAAGTGTTTGACCATGTAACCGCGTTATCAATATCTGCCTGAAGCGTTATTTTATCCGATGCCGACTTCATGATCCCAATAATTTTGCTGTCATCAGCGTATAGCATTATTTTGTAAACGATACTATCAGGAAGATCGTTTATAAACAAAATAAAAAGCAGTGGCCCCAAAACAGAACCCTGCGGAACTCCACTTGTGACGTTCTTCCACTCAGAAATGTGTTCTTTCAAGACAACACGTTGCTTACGATCTTTTAGCCACATTTTAATCCAAAGTAGCAACTTTTTGTGAATGCTGTATGCTTTTAGTTTATGTAGAAGAAGTTTGTGCGGGACTTTATCAAATGCCTTAGCAAAATCTGTGTAGATAATATCAGCACTGTAACCTTGATGCATACCCTCAGTAAGTATGTCGCAAGCGTTATCAAAATCTGCCTGAAGCGTTGTTTATCCGTTATCCGAAATGCTTCGAGGAGGTTAGTCAGACACCCCTTTTTTCGAATAAAACCATGCTGATGCTTGGAGATTAGATTGTTTTCCTCACAGTGGGCCATAATATATTTGTGAATTATTTTTTCCATTACTTTGCACGGTATTGAGGTGAGGGAGACCGGTCAATAATTGTAGGCCTTTAGCTTGCTCCCTTTCTTAAAGATATGAGTAATAAATATTTAAATATTTTATATATATATATATATATATATATATATATATATATATATATATATATATATATATATATATATATGTATATATATATATATATGTATGTATGTATGTATGTATATATGTATATGTATGTATAGACATTAATCTGTGTGAGGTTGGCAGAAAAAATGTAAATCAATGATTTGACTATAAAACATAGAAACAAGGTGGGCAAATTTTTGCCGACCACAAATACTTGAAGGTATGCAGTTACTATATACTATACTATATATATACTATAAGGTTGGCTGTTAGAATGGCATTGCTGAATGCCGACCTTAATTCCGAGGGTTGTTTATATATAAATATAAATAATATATATATATATATATATATATATATATATATATATATATATATATATATATATATATATATATATATATATATATATATATATATATATATATATATATATATTAGGGTGTCCCAAAAAACAACATTTTTGAAAATAATCTGCTCTCACCCCCTAAATATTTTCTATCTAATACAAAAACACTAGGTTTAAATTTTTTTTAAGACCTTAAGACCCTCAAATATTTAATGGGTCCCTAATATTTTCGAAAAAAAAGTTTTTCAAAAATATGTCAACCTGGTACTCAAATGAAGCGAAATTATATAAATATTTCAAAAATAATATTCATTTCAAAATATTTTTAACTTATTTATCAAAATTATCATAAAAAAACATTAGAAATGCATTTTTTTAATTTTTTCTTAAAAAACTCAATTTTTTATGTAATAAAACCAAAAATAACAATTTTGTTTCGAAATGAATATTATTTTTAAAATTTTTATATAATTTCGTTTCATTTGAGTACCAGGTTGACATATTTTTGAAAAACTTTTTTTTCGAAAATATTAGGGACCCATTAAATATTCAAGGGTCTTGAGGGACCCCTTAGAATATTTTTTATTCAAAAAAAATTTAAACCTAGTGGTTTTGTATTAGATAGAACACATTTAGGGGGTGAGAGCAGATTATTTTCAAAAATGTTGTTTTTTGGGACACCCTAATATATATGCATACACACATACTCATTGAGCCGTTGCAATTAAGGTTGGCATTTGTCAATATTATCCTAACTAACAACCCGATGTTTGTAGTTTTTTGCTGACCTATTTTTAATGTTGTTATGCAAAAAAAATGTTTTCATCAATCAGATTGCTATGACCCCTCTAACTACTTCCCAATCATTCTTACTTCTATTAGCAGTCAATCTTACTTATATCAGCAAACCCATATATGTCATCGATAGCAGACTCATTCAGTACACCATGAATGTAGAATTAATAACAGCAGAAGTTTTCTATCTTAAAGTTTCAGACAAGGATCAAAGACAATGATTAAAAATGAATTGATCAGGATTTCACGGAGAACAAGCTTCAACAGCAGTAGCAGTGACTGTGGGAGTTAAATTTTAGCATATAAAGCAACCATTTCTGAAATTGAAAATGAATTCTTTTAATTTAGATAGTCATGTAACACCTATACTGCTTTTGTTAGTCATGTTACAACAATACTGCTGTTGTTAAAATTATTTCAAAACACATTAGTAGCACCATTTCATCACTTGATAACCTTCATGGCTCTCCATTGTTGAATGTTATTTTGTAAAGTAAACACTGCTTTGCTAACAAGCACAGCCTGTAAATGTTTGTTTAGTGTAGCAGGGAAACTGTTTATGCCAAATAACACTAGAATGACAAATAAACATTTTGAACAGAAACTGCTATTATAAAACATATTCTTCTAAGGTTTGGCATTAATCTATAGAATAATCTGTCAAACAAATGTTTATAAATACATGTCTGGTATAAAACAAAATAAATATAATTGTCAAAAAATCTAGTTTATAAATCCTCATAATCTAGTGTAAACCTGCCAGTCTGTTAACATGATTGATTGATGAATTGAATAAATGCTTAAAAGTTTAATTCCAAGAGGATTTAAAAACTTTTTTTTTTGTATGTTAATGTTGGATGTATTTATTTTTGTGACCCGCATAATTACTTTTTTATTTTGTAACTAAAATTTTCTTTCAACATACTGTACTTTTTTACTATTTTAGTATTTTGGTCTTTTTACTTTTACTTTGTTACTTTTACAGTCAGTACTTTTTTTTTTACAAAAGTATTTGCAAGGAATAATAAATCATGTCAAGAGCTATTTCCATAAATCATAAAGCAAATCTTATCTTAAAATATAAAATGTTTTAATCTATTTCTAACATCTATTCACTACCGCAGGCTGTCAATAAAAAATAATACACTTAGTGTAAAAAGAACAACAACAACAAAGAAAACATGTGAAAGTAAAAATATCAATAACAGCAGCAAAAAATGTGAAAAAGATTAAAGAATTAAAATAGTTGCATTAACCATCATCTTATTGATCTTCTGTGAAGAGAAAAATGTTGTAAATAAGTTGTAAACTTACTTGTTGTTACATCACAACTATCTTGAGGATGATCCTCTTGATAGTTGTGGATCATCCTCATAAAAGTCAAAGTGTTTCATCAAATGCAAAAATAAAAAATAAAAAATAGAAGCTATTTAAATTTGCACCACAATACTGTAATCCAGTATGAATAATGTTAATGAAAATAAACAAAAATAATGTTAATGAAAATAAACAAAAATTTTCAATAAAAATTCAAGATCAGGTTAATAAAAATTTTATGAAAAAAAGAAAATCTAATTTCAAATAAAAATGCTTTCTAAACATAGAAATCTTGATAATTTTATACTAATTTTTCTAAACTTAGTGAAATATGTAGGTATTTAAAAATGTAAAAAGTTTCAAAAATATTTATCCAAAAAAAAGTGTTAAGAACAAATAGTAAACCACCGGGGTTAATATTTGACCAGGGCCAGGGCCCGGTTTGTGACCAGGGCTTCATAAACATTTATATATCCTAAGGTATATTTTTTTTATTCAAAATTCATGTTATATTTTGTATATACATGCATATATAAACATCATTATGATCAACATGATCATCATAATCATCATCACCGTCATCATCATTGTCATCTTCTCTTTCGACAAATACTATGCCATATAAGTGCTAAAGTTTATACAAATATGAAAGGATATTGTGTGTCAGCATCTAAATAAATAGCAAACATGTATGTTTATATCCATAATATGTATGCATAAAGCGCATCTCAGAATT